AATGAGTATGGATAGTTAATGAAAAGGATAAATAAATAAGTGGGTGATTGTATTACAGTTAATGTAATGCGCATCATTCGCGTAAGCAAGCATGGTGAAGGAGAGAACTGTTTCTTTTGTTTGTCAGAATTAATTAATTAGAATATATTTATTGTGAAGCGATACATCAACAGCGGATGAATTTAGAGGCATTCTTTCAATGAATTGAACAGACGGTCATTTAATTATTTTACTGGTTCGTTCAGGACAAGGACAATAGACACCGTCGTCGCCTGGTTTGCCCGGTTTGCCAGGTTCTCCTGGCGCACCATCGAGACCAGGAACACCAGCCTTTCCAGGTGGTCCCATTGGTCCCGGTGGTCCTGGAGGTCCCATTGCACCAATCGCACCGTTCCTTCCGGGTGCCCCAGCCGGTCCAGGAGGGCCAGGTGGCCCTTTCGGTCCTTTCAAACGTTTGCCTTTCCCCCCGCTTTTACCAGCTGGTCCAGCCGGACCGACGGGTCCTGGTGGTCCTGAAAGCACCACGAAGTGAATCACTGTATTTGGATTAAAAATTCCGAGTGCAGAATTCTATATCAGAGCTATTCTAGTAAAGTGTAACGACAACGCTGGTCAGTTCAAAGTTAGCTGAGAATTGGTGTCTGATAGTTAGTTGAATGAAACGATAAAATGAAATGTGATCATTTCAAAACGCTTCATGCATTTCCTCTGAGAACTTTATTCAGCTCTACTTACCAGGTGGACCAGTCTTTCCTGATGGACCAGGTGCTCCAGGTGCTCCATCTTTTCCCGGTGCTCCTTCCACGCCAGGCTTTCCTTTCGGTCCAGGAGGTCCTGGAGGTCCAACAGGTCCTGCTGGGCCTGCTGGGCCAGGCTCACACTTGATACAACCGCCATCTTCTGTGATGCCAAATAAGAGAGCGTCAAGTCCAGGCTTGCCGGGCGGGCCGGGTGGGCCATTTTCTCCGGCTGCTCCTGGATCACCGGGTGGTCCGGCAGGGCCGGGTGGGCAGCTGTTCGCTTTTAGCGAACAAGCGCATCCCGCTTCTCTTTTGTTTCGCTTAGCGAGCAGTTCAAAAAGTGACTTTGCACTGTGTTGATTCTCCATTTGCATCATGGAGTTCCAAGCATCATTTGCAATCAAATGAAATTCATCCAGTTCACTCACAGCATCTTTAAAGAATACATTCAAGTTGTTGATCAGTACTGCAATTGCTGCTACACATCCCAATAGCACTATCAAGCATACTGTTGTTGAAAGCAACAGCACCTTCATCGAAGACATTCTCCACCTGAAATTCAATTCTATTATCGAATTCTAGTCAAGTATCCATTATGGAATTATCGGAATAGCCCGACACTTTCAAAAATTATATGCTGAAACTCTTACAATGTTGTTACTATCAAAACATTTTAGATAGCGATCTATCTAAAATNTATTGGTACGAATATTATTGCTTTTATAGTGGCTATTTATTGTAGCGAATGATCCGGTTTGAATATCAGGTGTGATGATATTTGAACTGAAACAGTTAAGCTAACGCACTCATTTCAAAAGCCAAAAAAAGTTGTCGTTCAAAGGAAAAGAAACTAATCGCAAATTAAGATTTCCTGACTGAAGACGCGTAGAATTTTGAATATCAATTCTGAAATTTGAACTGAAATGTATTTGAAACATATAAAGGATGTGTGATGTTTTGAATTAATTAACTGGATTTCACTGAACAGTTGGATGTGCCCTTTTTTTTCGCAACTTCTAATTCTCTTTTGCAACTAGCATAGCGCACGTTCACATCATAACGTGAACGTGATCTTTTCAAGTGTTTTTCTCATGATGATGTTTTCAGTGAGAAGATAACAAATCCAGTTCCTTATTACGTAACAGATTAATGTGCTTCGGGTGAAAATAAGTCGCATCAAATAAATGCAAAAAACCTCGGAATGTTTCATAGAAATTCGATCACGAAAAAAATCACTTATTTGCATTTTCGACTTAATTCAGTTCTTGCCCATATCCAATATGGCTGTCGCTTAATTAGAAAATGTGGACTTAAATATCGTCGAATTAAAAAACCAGTCTTACATCTGTTTCCAATTCAGTCAAGCAACTGGATTCTAAAGCTTGATCTTATGATATGATTGGTAAGTTGACTGAGATGAAAACTTATTTTCTTAACTACTAGAGCGTGTTCAAAATTGCATCCAGAAGTGTTCCTGACTAGAATGGAAACAACGAATTAAAACTAGTAAAATTTGACGTCAATCCCAAAGGAATCATATCGAAACAGTTATTCAAAGCATTCTGGTGATCTCATAGGGCAGCGGTTCTCAAAGGGGCTAGAACTGCCCATTTTGGGTAATTTGTGGGTCTCGTGGAGGGTAACGGAGGGGGCCGAGAAATTACTATATCGTACAGTTGTTATAGCATGATAGAACGCCTTTGTGATGGTGTATTTTTCACTCGGATATCTAAACGCGCTCGCTCACGGAAACACTCATCTTTATCCTATTTCCTAAGCATCTTTAGTTCGATTAAGCCTGAACAAAAGTCAGTTTGAAGAAGTCACAAATATTTCCTAAGTGCTTTAAGATATTGGCTGACATCGTCTCTCATGAGCCATAAGTATTGATTGAGCTCTTTGGTACGACAGAAAAGACCATTGGTTTGGTGTAGGACGATCGCTCTTTTTGCAATTTTTACGATTTGTAATTCTTCAATCGCTTATGAATGTTTTTTCAACCGGTATAAAACTTCTTCCGTGATGTACGACAACATTTCTTATGATGTTAATGAGTGAAATGCATGAAAAATAGAATGGGAATTTCAGACGTAATGCATCAGTCGCATCTCAAAATCCTGGATAGTTCGAATTTATTTTCATCCCTCATTGATGAATTTTTACTCATTCATTAACCATCAGTTTAATGGAATGATTGCTTATTCATTAATTTCGAAGACAATTCCTCAAATGTGTATTGCATTCTCCTTCTTGACGAATAATTGGACTTTTTACAAGATTTCATTTCTTATCGCTGAAGAATGTTTTTTCATTACTTTTCCTTCTTGATTGCCGAGTTTCATATGGTTCCTGCAATGGAAAAAATAAGGTTCTAAAAATACTTGCTTTGTTCCGGAAAATCAATTACTTTCACGCCATTAAGGAATTTCTTATTGAGCATCTTTTAATCACTAATGTAATAATCCCAGTTATAACAGAATAACATTTCAAACCAAAACCGAATCAGAATTTTCAGGAATTCAAATAAATTAAAATTTTTTAGTAACGTTCATCCCATTCAATATGAGCGGAAATTGGGAGTGAATTTCTTAAATTCCAAGGAATCTGATGGATTAGAAATTGAAAAGAGCAACTGTTAATTTTGTTTGAATGTTTCACAAATTAATGTTATAAGCTCAATTGATGATCTCTTGAATTGAATACATTGAGTGTTCGCTTGCGATTCGCAATTCGTTTCTGCATACAAAATGTCCACGTTGCATTAGCATTCCCTTTGTTAAAATTATGCTTTTCCGAGGTTTTTGAGCATTTTCAAGCTCGACTTTTAGAGTTTATTTCGGCACAGATCGTCTGACCAGAACTCCGCCACAACCCTAGTCATCTTCTGTTAGTACTAGTGCGTTACGTTTGTTTTTTTGTCGTTGATGGTTTCAGTAATAAGTATTCCGATTTCAGTTAGTCATGCTTGCGGTGCACAAATTACTGGTCGTATTTTTCTTTATCGCAATCAGCAGTGCTCAATTTGATGGGATCACTATCGAAGCCGAACGAAATATCGATATTTCCAGTCAGGTTTGAATCGTTTTGAATTATTGATGCCCGAATTCAGTGCGGATCTCTCAGAAACTACTCCATTATATCGTAAATTACATCAGAATCTGATCGGTCTCTTCCACTGAACCTCTCATATAGGCTAATTTTTTTCAATGAACTGTTTGTTTGGCATTCGTTCTTTTTCATAATAAACATGTCTGTTAACACACCCAATACAAGAAGGAAGAATTTGTATCCGAACTGCAGCGTTTACGTAAATTCATCAACGTTGTGTTTAAGGTTGTGAAGGTGGTCGTGAAATATGATGTCACGAACGGAGGTAAAACTCAAATAAACAGTTTTTTCCATTTGGTAAGCGATAACGAACAATTGAAGTTGTCATATATCAAGGCCACCGAGGAAGGAAAGGATGGAAAATTGAACGTTGTGAAAGGAAACGTTGCTGGCATCAAATCAGGATTCACATCTTACAAGGTGCTTTTTTGTTTTCGGCTCTTTGATATTCCCTTCAATCAGTAGTTCAATATAGCGGCTGAAGCGAACTTACCAACTTTTAACTCGATGTCTTTATTGTATTTGATATTAGTTTATTATTTGTGATTCAATCTGAAATGGTGATTAAAACGAGTCGTTTTCACTCATCGTTAAGAAATCATTATGTGATTTGCTCTATCGAAATCGTTTTTGTTCAAATATTCAGGTAGAATTACTGAGCGTCGTAGCACCAGGTGGTAAGATTAGCCTCACTGTCGAATATCAACTTATCGAATATTTGGTACCATTTCCGGCTAAGATTAAGCAAGCCGAAACACAGTAAGTTTTCTTCCAACTTGAATTTTTTCGAACAATAGACTTTCAAACTAATTGATTGATCTTAAGAATAGTTGCGTATTTTATCCGTTTCTACTTCTTCACCAACGAAAACACTCACATTTTGCATATCCGTAAATTTCGTTTGATGTTGACGTGCTTTTCAGGTTCATGCTGTATAATGGTAACGCTCATGTGACCAGTCCTTATACGGTGACCAAGGAGTCAACCGTCATCCAGTTGGCGCCCGGCAAGCTTCTATCACATACAACTGTTTCACCGACCAAAGCCGACTCAGGAAAAATCACCTATGGACCGTACACAAATCAGAAACCGTTCACATCCGTCAGTGTTTTATTGTCATTCTGTTCGATTTTGATGGAAGCGTATTATGTTCAGGCTGGAAGTATATTCTCTCGATAAAACCAAACAAAACGCTTAAATGCAATCAAAAGCTTCATTCAAAAATTGGTTGCAATCATTTTATTGTGTAGTTTAGGTCAGTTTCAAAATTGAATATTTTTACAGTCAGAAATCAAAGTGCATTCTGAAAATAATTCGCCGTTTGTTGTGGTCACAAGGCTGGAGCGTTTAATCGAATTATCACACTGGGGTAATATTGCCGTCGAAGAATACATTAAAGTGGTGCATAAGGGTGCTGAGCTTACGGTTCGTATTGCACATTCGAAGAGTTATTATTGCCTTGTAATCTAATGTCTTATTATGTAACGAAGTTGTCTTCTTATATAGTATTGCGATTCAGACGAAATGAATTGACATTTACGTTCGCATCTTACAATCATTTCAGGGACCATTCTCTAGACTTGATCTCCAACTGGATCGACGTCCAAAACGACCAGTAGTTACCTCATATAAGGTTGGTTGTTAGCTTGGTTTTCTCGAATATCTGCCTGTTTGAAATCAAAGATGGTAAAATTGTCGTTGATGTGATCAATTTGCAATCACTCGATTGCGAATCTTGATCTTTGCAAGCTGCTTCATTCAAGCGATTGCGATGATCTGAGCATTCCGTTTGTCTTATCATCAAAAATTCAGACCCTTCTTCCTGCTTCTGCAAAAGACATCTACTATCGTGACGAAATCGGCAATATTTCCACATCGTCAGTGCGTAAACTCACCGATGCGGTCGAGGTGACCATCCAGCCACGTTTTCCACTTTTTGGTGGATGGAAAACCGACTACATCCTCGGCTACAACGTCCCCGCATATCAGTATTTATACTCGAGCGGAAAATCATTTGCACTGAAAATGCGACTGGTGGATCACGTATTCGACAACTCGGCCATTGAGAGTTTTAAACTGAAGATTATTCTGCCAGAGGGCAGCAAGTGAGTGTTCATTTGTTGTGTTTTCATTGCGCTTGTTCTCAATTGATTGGTTTCTCATCTTTGGCGTTATTTGAATGATTGCATTTACTTCCATTCAATACAATGAAGAATGTGATCAATTTTACTGTATCGTTGATTCGAAGGAACTTCAAACTGATAACGCCTTATTCGGTGAAACGCAACCCAGATGAGCTTCACTTCACGTATTTGGATACAGTCGGACGGCCAGTGATCAGCGTCGAGAAGGAGAATTTGGTTGATGCACACATTCAACCGTTTACAGTGAGCATTGAAGATATGGAATTTTTGACGTTTAATCGTGAATGTTCGTGAAATAGTCGTTAACGTTGGTTTACCTAGTGAACAGCATTCAAAAAGTTGGATTCAGGATGTGAAATGATGAATGTTTTCAGCTTCATTACGAATTCGATAGAGTGCAGTTGTGGCGAGAACCGTTGCTTGCGTGCATGGGCTTTGGTGTCCTCTTCTTGGTGGTCATCATCTATGTACGATTTGATTTCACACTGTCATCGGTTCGTTGCTCTTTGAAGTATTGATTTGATTTGTTTGATTGCTTTGGATGTCATTTACTCATCGTAGCGAATTGCTTGAATATGGTTACGGAATGCAGTGAGTATGATCATATGAGTAGAATTTTGTTTGATTTGTGCATGTTCCAGGATGCGGCAACAGAGAGTCGTCTTCAGGCACAAGGTCAAGTTGAGCAATTGACCGATTTACATGCAGATCGTCTACGATCCTATGATCATTTTATTGATGCGGCCACCAAATATAGAAATAATAAGGTATGCGATAGTGTGAGTTTGGATATTGAGATCAGTTATTTCGTGACGCGATTGAATGTTGAACTGCTTCGGGTTGAGAACGAGAGGTTATGAACAAAAGGAGTGAAAAGTATCGGAGTTGATTTTTTCTTCGGAATATCTTTTGAAGACCGAAGGTTATTGCGTTTACGCTTCAACGATGTAACCGGTTGTTTGAACGTTTGAAAATTTTTAATTTACGCATCATTTGAACGCGTTAAGGATGCGGCAGCATTCACAAGTGCAAAGAAGAAGTCAGAAGCTGACGTGAAGCAGGTCACTCAGCTGATAAGCGATATCCAAGCTGAACTAAAAGCCAACAACGCCGAACTCGCAGAAAAGGTGATTACATTCGTATGCAATGAACAGATCAATTTTTAAACAGTGCTTTTGAACGCAAAGATTCTTGTCATAAAAAAGCAGGTCTTGATGCAATAGTATGTGTAATAGTGTTGTGTGTTATTGCTTAATGGGGGGTTTTTCGTTTTGGAAGATCATTATTGATCATTTCAGGTGAACGAAGTGAACAAAATGAACAAGACGGCCATGGATCTGATCACGAACTTTATGACTCAGGTTTGTTGTTCAAAATTTTTTTGTTGTTTACACAGTTAGGATCTTGGAACCGTTTCACGAAATCGTCATCGTTATATTTCGTTTGCGTATGCGTGATGCTGCACCTAAATAGTAGTATCATCGAGATGAAGGATAAATTTTTGTAACGTTTATAGGTGGAACGTTTGGTGAAAGGTCAAGTTCAGAAGAGTGTTTTCACGGAGACCGAGAAGACGTTCAATCAGAAATTGAATGAGATCAAAGAGAAAATGGACTCAATTATTTATGCGCTTTAGGCATTAAAATGGATTGTTGTTGAGTATTGATTCCAATGGCACACATCCTTTCAGTCGATTCATTCATTATTTTATGAGGAGTTGATTGTTGTTGTTCATTTGATATTTTATTGTGATTTTTGTTTTGTTTTCTGAGTTTCTGCATGGAAGATGCATTGGCGTCGATCGGTAATTGAACGAAATTTTGTTTCGGTAAGTAGTTGAACGAGGCTGCCTCTGAATTAGGCATTGATTTGAAAATTTCCTTGATGCTTGAGTGTTTATTGGCTTTGTAGAACTTTGAGATATTGCGAAAATTGCATTTGAGAGTTTAAATTTAAGACAGTAGTTGATACGAAGTGGTATAATATATTAAATGAGAAGCTATGCGCCAAATTGATGTTGTTTTAAGTAATTGCAATTGTGATTGAACGGGATTAAGTTGTTGTATTTGTTGTCTGTTAAGTTATAAGATTTGTTTATGCATGCGTCAGTTGTTGTTGCTTAATTACTCATTAATAATGATTTATTTGTTTATGGCTTTCTGTTTATTGAGGAGAACAATNCAGTTGTTGTTGCTTAATTACTCATTAATAATGATTTATTTGTTTATGGCTTTGTGTTTATTGAGGAGAACAATTGATTTTTTGAAGAAATTGTTTAAATCATTGTTTTTATGAGGTTTATGATTGTGGTTATGAATTGTTGAATGTCCTCCCTGTAGTATTATGACTGTTAGAGCAATTTTAGGAAGTCTGGAGTTTTGCCTTACTTGCTTTTCGGATAAGAATGCTTGTTTTTCGGGGCTTTTATAATTCGTTCATCTCACTCTCACGAGTAATTTATTTGATCGCTCGATGTTATCTCTTTCTTTCATGACTTAATTCGATCTAATAAATATTATTTGTGTAAGTATCGTTTTTTGTGTATGTTCCGTCTATCCTCAAAAATGCGTTCGAATCGCTTTGAATTTCTTTTTTGGTCAATGATGGACGTGATTCTCGTATAATTTCATAAAGCAAAATGAACGAAATCATTAGTTGAGAGATTACTTTGAACACTTGGAGGTTTATATAATAACTCGTCATTTTAGCATAATACTTGATAGATAGTGGTTTTGCATTCATTCTTAAGTCATTCGTACAAACTTTG